TTAAGATAAATGTCTGTGTTTATTTTTATGTCTATAACACTAATTGCCACCTATATAGGAATGGTGGGGTTGGTATTCAACAACAGTACCAACATTAAAAAACCACAAACTGGATAAGCATTTGACTGCAAGTGTTTACTATGTAATCTACTATATGAATAGACACAGCAACATGAATGGGGTAGGAATTACATAGTCTAATTAGTTTGGGTTGATTTTTGAATTCTTTGTATTAAAGTGTAGCTGAAGATTGAGTGTTGTTAATTTGTGTGGATGGCAATGTATGCTGTGTTTTGGTTGAGCTTAGTTCAGTAGGATAATTTCCATTCTGAGAGGCTGTAGTGTCCCTGTAAGTTCCTAGCACTTTGTGAAATAAACAATAGTGACAAAAGATGCAAACAATACACAGCATTAAAGTAAATACCCAATTCCTACTATGACATCTACAACATTAATTACCACAGAAACAGGAATGATATATGAATAGAAAGATACAAGGTGTGGGACCTGAAGTCCAGCTATGATTGTTTAGATCCTTTTATGTGTGTGTGTGTGTGTGTGTGTCTGTGTGTGTGTGTGAGAGAGACGGGGGGGGGGGTCAGCAATTATCAACTGTATAAATAACAATCATGAACTAGATCAGGTTTTAAACAGAAGGTGTCAATTACAGCAGTAATAACTGCATCAGCATTAATAGTGAGGGCAGGAGTTATATAAATAAATTAGTTCTAAAAGACGGTAAAATACAGTTAATTAGGAGAAAACAAAATGTGCTAGGAAGGTGGAAAAGAGTTTATAATTTTAAAAAAGTGAACAGAAATGGCAAAGAGATGTAGCAGGTGATATTTATAAGGAGGGTGCAAAAAACAATAGGAGAAGTGAAGTAAAGGAGGAGAGGAAGAGAGAACAATTGAATTTGACCCTTAGCAGGAGATGAAAAGAGAGAAAGAGAAACAAATGAAAACAACACAAAACAAAACCAAAATACATAAACCAAAAAGATCCCCAATCCTCAAAAGAAGAAATAACTATTTAAAAAAATGCTAAAAATGAAAAAAAAAGAAACAAATATGCATGTGTCTCTGAACCAATCAGCACAGCAAGAAGATACACACACAGAGATAGTGAGCAAGGGAGCATGAGGGAGACTGGGCTGGAGTTTGTTAACCCCTCCTGTTTTTATGCTGTTCTCTGAGCTGCCAGTTGAAGTAGCCTATGACTAAAACTGTTTGAAATAAGTCTCAGCTTCCCTTCTCACCAGTATGAAGCGGGATAGATTAGGAAGTTGGAGTTTTGTTCATACCACCACATCTGTGCACTCCCAAGGTAAAGCTTCTGCAGAGTTTTATGAGGGGAGTTCTGGCAGGTAGCACTTAGGTCTATTCAGGCCTCAAGGGTTTTGTGGGATGGTGTCCACGCTGGAAAAATTAGATCAACACACCCCTAGGGCCTGGTACTTGTCAACCTCTGATGAAAGTCTGGATTTCAGGAGCCTCCCAAGAATTCCACTCATGGGGCAGGAAATTCAATCCGCTACTGCCCACAAGTGCAGTCTTCACAGGCTTAGTCCCTCACTTTATTCATACCCTACCTATTAAGATTCCCTGCCCACTTTAGCTGGTCACTTGAGCTGCCCAAACTGAAAGATATTCTGCAGGGCTCTCAAATCTTTCATGGAGATGTATCTTTTCTGTAAACTTCCAATTAGAAAAGTTTTTTAGTTTTATTTTTTCAAAAGCTTATACATCTACTACCTCTAGTATCTGTTTGCAGTACTGAAAATTCTTTAATACTGAAACAAACTGATGAACTCTCTTTGTTCTCAGTGGCCCCCAGGTATCCAAAGCATAGCCATCAATGCTCTGTCCAGTAAAACAGAAACCAGTTCTTTAAGCAGCTGCCGAAAATCCAACACTAGATGTATGCTTCATTCTTCTCTTTCACTTTTGAAAGAAAAACAGTAAGTTGCACTTTTATTCTGATTGTTGGCTGTGCCAGCTTGGAAGAGAGGCTAAGTTCTAGATGAAACTTCTTTCCTTGCCCAATTCAATGTGCTATTCTTGGCTTTGAGTTTACGTGGAGTACTCCAACTTCCAAACTCTAGAGTTCTCATAAAAAACATATGAACTGTACACTAGTTAAAAAGTTAGTATCTATGGAGAATGAAGTCCAGAGTTTCTATTCTACCACTTGACTGACATTATTCTCCATTGATTCTTTTTTATAGTCTTTTTCCATCCTTTTACTCTCAATCTGCCTACACCATTACATTTGAAGTGAATATAAACACACACACACACACACACACACACACACACGGGTCATGATTTTTAATCCATTCTGCCTATCTGTATATTTGAATGGATGTATTTAGACTGTTTTATATTTAATGTAAATATTGATATGTTCAGGCTTAAGTCTGTTGCTTTTATTTTTCTTTTCTGTTTTTCCCTAGTTATTTTTGTTTTCATTTTCTGCTCTCCTATTGATTACCTTAATTATTTTATTGTATACATCTTGATGTGCCAATAATATTTTGAGTATATCTCTTTGTCTAAAATTTTAGTGGTCAACTTTTACATTACATTTTATATTCATAACACAAAGATGTCTTTATTACTAGGTCAAGGGAAATACAAAAGCTCTATTTCCCTTTACATCTTTTCACCCTTTCCTACTTATAATCAGCCTAAATATTTCCTGTACACATTTGGATCCACATTAGACAATGTTAATACAATCTATGCTTTGACCATCATATATTATATATACTTTTAAAAGCCCAAGAGAAGGAAAGCTTATTGTATTTATCCAAAATTTTATTTACTGGGCTTTTTCTTTTGTCTTGATACTCCAACTTCCCTCCATTTCCTTTCTGTGCAAACAATGTCCTTTAGCCAATTTTTTAAAGGTAGGTTTCATGTTGGATACATTCTCTTAGTTTCCTTCATCTGAGAATGTCTTGGTTTCTGAATTCCTGACAGATATTTTCACTGGGTATAGGATGCTGGTTTCTTTCTATTTTTGTTTTTGCTGTATTGCTCAGGCTGGTCTTGAAATCGTGAATCCAAGCAATCCTCCCACCTCAGTCTCCTGAGTACTGGGACTACAAGCATATACTGCTATACCTGGTTTAGGATTCTGGATTCTTGTTTTTGGGTTTTTTTTTTTTCTTCTTCTTCTAGTACTTGAAGAATACTGAAGTTTCCTTTTGGCTCCAAAGGTTTCTAATGAGAAATATGCTTTCACACATGTAAGGTGTCATTTCTCTCTTGTGGTTTTCAAGACTCTTGTCTCTGTGATTAGGTTTAGAAGTTTGAGTATGGTATCTTGATATGGATTTCTTGGAGTTTACTCAGCTTTTTAAATCTGTAAGTTCACATCTTTTGCTAAATTTGATAAATTTTCAGCCATTATTTTCTTAGATCATTTTTCAGCCCTATCTTCATTCTTCTCTCATTGACTTCCACTAACACAAGGGGTAGGGAGTAGTGGCTCCTCATTACTGCCAGACAATGGCGGGAATTTTGGCTCCCTTATGGTCACCACTGATACCACAAAGGACAAGTTTTGCCCTGTGGAGCTGAAAGTTACATATTCCTACTCTGCTTTCTCTGATAATCTGGGGAAGTTGGAACACTCCATTATAACCTGATAAAGCCTAGGTTTCCCACTTGGCCTTTCCTTAAAGTAGGATGTGGTGGATTTGTGTTTATGTGTGTATGTGTCTGTATTGTATGTCTAGAGAAATTATTTTTTAAAAGTTTTATGTCTTAATAATGTTCCACTTTCCATATCCCTTGGTTAGAGTACTGGCTTTCATTTATTTATTTTCATGTCTGTGCACATTCACAGTTCCACATTACCAGCTTCTTTAGTTCCACTTACAGGATATATGAGACAGAAAGAAGACATAAGGAATTTAGTAGCATACTTGTATTTAGGATTTGGATACCTTAGCCAGTCTAATTTCCTAGTTGTTTTATGTTTGGCTTACACATAACATCCAGGGATTTGGATTGTAATTAGTGGGGAAAAGTACCTTTACTATATCTGTCCATTGACAGAACTCATTATTATTGTCTAGATTTCATGATTAACTTTAGCTGTGTCTCTCTTTTCATTCCTAATATTAGAATATGAAGAGTTTATCATGTAAAACAAGAAAATTTGTGGTGCTACTGGTTTTGAAGCACACTTATTTTTTCCATATTTCCTATTGGTGCATTATGATTATACATATAGTGAGATTTCTTGTTATATATCTATACAGGCACATAATATAACAATATAATTTGGTCTTTATCACTCTCCAGCACTCCTCTTGTTCCTCGCTCCTCCTTCCCTCTGGGTCATTTCCTCTTCTCTACTAACTTTGATTTTTCTGAGATCATACCCATCTTTTTTTTTCCTTTATTCTCTTTACCTTCCACATATGAGAGAAAGCATACAACCAATAACTTTCTGCATTTGGCTTATTTCATTTAACATAGTGGCCTCAAGTTCCATTTTCCTGCAAATGATATAATTTCATTCTTTTTCCATTCATCCACTGAAGGACACCTAGACTAGTTCTATCATTTGGCTATTGTGAATTCTGCTGTTACAAACATAGGTATTCATGTATCACTATAGCATGATGATTTTAATTCTTTAGGATAAAGACTAAAAGTGGTATAGCTAGGTCATATGGGGGTTCCATTACTAGTCTTTTGAGGAACCTTTATACTCATACTGGCTATACTGATTTACAATCCCACTAACAGCATAAAGTTGAAGCACACTTAAAAAACTATTCAATAGGGAATATAAAGCAATGATTCCTGGACATAGCAGGAATTTCTCTCTTCCATTAAGATTAAAATCTTTCAATTGAAGCTATTTCTTATATTTTTACTTAAAAAACTATTAGTCTAAAAGAGCACAATTACCCAAAAGGGTCAAGATTCAGCAAACATATTTTTGTTATAAACTGACAGCTCACATAACATCTTACTTACCCAGTGACAATAATTTCTGGATATGTTTGTGCTCCAAGGTTCCAAGCTCCTCCACTGATTGGCCACTCCTAAATAGATTGTCCAAGAAGAATACATACATTTTATATTTTAGTTTAAATGACTTTGAAACTTAAAATGAAAATATTTTTAAAGGCTTGCTTAACATTAAATTGCTATAAAATATTAAAGGATGAAATGTGAAGTTACCTTTTAATTCTTTCAATGAACAAACACCTCTCTAAACACACAATTCTGTTTCCTTTGAAACTAGATTTTAGTTAATGTTACCATTCATATAAACAAATCAAAGAAGTATTTTTAATTGTACAAATACAATATTGCTACATGAATCATATAGTCTGTGTGCTACCCATCTTTTATGATGCCATTTTAACATAATGCTATATAAATAGCGCCTCTTAGAGTTTTTCATCCCAATTTATTTATTTAATAAATGATAAACAAGGGAGAAATGACACAAATGTCTTAAAATATAATCCTTCATCTAAAATAATTAAAGGTTACATATTTTTTATTTTAATGTTAGTTTAAGTATATAGCATACAAATATGTTAAAAATCTTTGTATATAATTATATACTTAATGTATAAGAAATTTATATTTGTGTAGACTTAAAACTACGTAAAATTCAGAAAATTTGTATTTCAGAAATTATATCACTTATGATGCCAGATTCTGATTTCAAAAGAATTTAGCTCAAGTCCTTTTGTATGGAAAGTCAGAAAATAAAAGAAAAAGTATGTCAAAATGATATGAATATAAGAAAACTTGCTTATAATTTTTACCTTATTACTGTATCCTTGTTTTTTATGCTTGACTCCTATAGAATACAGTACTAAAATCAAGTCTGGAGGGCAATCGGCAAAATATGCTGTGCATGTAACTGGTGATTCATGAATGTCCATGGGATATGGATTTTCAAAGATAGGAAAACTAATAGATAAAGAAAATGTATTAGTGTCATTTTGCAAAGATAAAAAAGAATTTTATAAAAATATTTTTATAAAGTAAGCTCTAAAATGTCTCTAAATATTAATTACAAATTTCACTTGTTTTCTTGTACTAAAATACAAGAATTACACAAACCAAATGCCTTTTTAAAACAGTCATCTATAAAATGCAATATTAATACAAATAGAAAAGTACTCAAATTGATTTTCTTCTCAGAAGCCAACATTCCACAGTGGCATATCTTTGATAATACAAATAAAATGAATTAAACAGAATATATGCAAAAAGTTCACTCAACTCCTTAAAGATCATATTAAATGGGTATTTCACATAAATAGTTATATAAAATATGCAAATATTAAAGTATCAGTAAAATTTGATATTTTCTAAAGGGAGGTTATAAATAGGCAAATTTTTAATGTTTTGAAGGAGTAATTAAAAGATGTGCATACTGGTCGGTGTTTGCGTATCTGTGAATGTTTTAAAGATCATTTCTCAAGTAACAGAGCTGGAATGAAGATTTATGGATGTAATAAATTTCCTCAAGCCTACTGTAATTTTAAAAATGAATGAATACAGAATAAAATAAAAAAATCTTGTAGCTATAATTTATTCAAAACATCTCATGTAACAGGCACTGTACAACATGAAATGAGTAGTAGTCTATGCTGCCTCTGTTCGAAGTCTGTGATCACACTACTTCTGATTTAATATTATTATTGGGGGATGAATGTTAAAAATAATTTTCTCATATTATTAGTAACTTAATTAGGAATTTAATCCAATCATGAGAGAATATAGTGAGTGTGTAGATATGTGTTTGTATATGTGATCGGGAGTGTGTTGACAGGAATTTTCTTTCTACCACTCTGAAATGCTGCAAAGGTATGATATTCTAGATAAAGATAACAGTATATACAAAATCAAGTAGAAAGGAGCTAGACATAGTAAAGAACAAGTAGGCTAAACTAGATAGATTAAAATTTCTGTTTCAAATTATAATTAACATTTCTGAGATTGAAGAATTAGACAAAGGGCTGGGGATGTGGCTCAAGCAGTCTCGCGCTCGCCTAGCATGCATGCGGCCTGGGTTTGATCCTCAGCACCACATACAAACAAAGATGTTGTGTTCGCCAATAACTAAAAAATAAATATTAAAAAACTCTCTCTCTCTCTCTTCTCTCTCTCTAAAAAATATAAATTAAAAGAATTAGACATAAAACAAATAATCTGTCTTCCAGACTTACATCTTACAATTTGGTAATAGCAAGAGGTAACAATGATAGGCTCCTGACAAGGCACTGAAGAGAGAAACAAAAATTTACTATAGCTTTTTATATAAAAAAGTAAAAACAATGCTGTGGAAATGAAAATAAGAAACCAAGAAGAAGAGTTTGTAAACCCTATTTTTTTTCCTTCGTGTTGGAAATTAAATGGTAAGAGAGAGATTTGAAAAGGACTCCCAAGTTACAACTTGTTTCAATACTCAACATACCTACTTAAAAGGAATATATACTGTCAGTTTGGACATGTTAAATTTCATGTAACAGTGAATGAAATGGGAATATCACATAAGTCACATGTGTTAAAAAAGCAAAAGTCCAAACTCAAATTGGATCAAATACCTAGGAATTTAACCAAGCTATCTACTCCTCAGTATTTATCTGAAAGAACTAAATATAGGTTCATCAATGTTTATAGCAACTCCATTCACAAAATCCAAGTTATGGAACCAGCCCAAGTACCTGTCAATAGATGAATGGATAAAGAAAATGTGATGTGTACACACACACACACACACACACACACACAATGGCATTTTACTCAATCATAAAGAAGAATAAAAATATGGTATTTTCTGTTTAATGGATGCTAAGTGATAAAAGCCAGAATCAGAAAATCAAGAGTTGAACATTTTCTCACATAGGTGGACGTGAGACCAAAAATAAGGAAAAAAAAAATCATATGTGTGAATCCCATGAAAATGGAAGGGACATCAGTGGAAAAGAAAGGGATTGAGGGGGAGGAAAAGGGAGGAGGAGTGGAATGAAATTGAACAAATTATGCTATGTACATATGTGAATTTGTCACAGTGAATTTCACCTTTATGCATATCTATAAAACATTAATTTAAAAAGCTATAAATAGAAGTTAGACCAGTAGAGTAACAAAGGAGAAGGGAGGAAAGGAGAAAAAGGAAAAAATTCTAGGGACTGAAATAGAACAAATTATATTCTATGCATGCATGTGATTACATAAAATTAAACCTCATTATTACATAATACACTAATAAAACATTTTTTTGTGGGGGTATCGGGGGTTGAACTCAGGGGAACTCAACCACTGAGCTACATCTCCATCCTAATTTGTATTTTATTTAAAGATAAGGTCTCATTGAGTTGCTTAGCTCCTCGATGTTGCTGAGGCCTCAGCCTCCCGAGTACCTGGATATGTGCCACCATGCCCAGCAAACATTTTTAAAATGAAAGAAAAAAAAAGAAATAGTGCTAAAAAGTAAAATGTTAGATAAAACTTGTAAACAAAATGTAAATTCATATAAAGAAATGAGAATCATAACACATGTATAGCAACTTTCATGTTACACATATTTTGCCACAATGAAAAAAAATTTAATAAACACACTGAAAAGTGAAGTATTAAAGGTAAGTGTAGTGAGTCTTGGAGGATACTAGACAGGTATGACGAATCAACAAATATTACATGCAAAGCAGAGCTGAGCACCAAGGAGATCAGAAGAACACATTTTAATAAAACTTACAAAAGAACTTGTTAGATGAAGAAATATAAATCCTTACATGTACACAAAATTAATCAAGTTTAATGTTAATATGTAGGGCTTTCCAGAATTCACAGTTATGATGATCTTAGAGTCAAAATCCTACATCTCCTTCAAATTATTGACATATGTGGCAAATTAGTATAAAGAAGAACATTGGCTCTTATATTTACAAGCTATGTTGAAAGTTTAATTCAAACGAATTTATTTAACAAAAATTTATTGAGAACCTAATTCCATGTAAGCATACAACCTCTCATGGAGCCTATTGTTTATTAGGGAGACAATGTTTAAACAACAAAGGGAAAATTGTATCTATGTCAATATGAAGTAAGGAATATGAGGGCTATGAAGTATTAGGATATTTGACCAAGATTTCTTTTTAATTAGGAAGTGATTTCTAAGTTGAGATTCCTAAGATATTCATAAAAAAAGATTGTTCGAGGTAAAGAGGAAAGAATATACAAAATTCTTCTTTAGACATAAGGGATTAAAATCAGCGGGTCTAGAATACACACGGAGGGAAATTAATTTCATGCCTATCACCATTTATAATAAAAATGTATAGCCTGAAGACAATGTTCATCAATTTCAAGTCCACTGCCAACATAAGGGAGCTGAGAGCACCACTGTTCCAGAAATATCCTCTATTTGTTTCAAATGTTTCAAATGTCCACAACATAATGTAAAAGAATAGAAAGTAAAAGAAGACCCCAATCCTCTCTATCCCCAAGATCCCGCTTATCACATGTCATTTTCATTTAATCAATTTTCTTCCAGTCAATAGACTAGCTGCCATCTGTCTGTTAACATTTTTTATAACAATTGCAAGTTTTTGTAACAATTGTTTTTGCTTATTAATGAGATGGCAGAAATGTGATCCACTTTATGTACTGTGTCTTCAAATGCTTCTATCCAAATATCAGGTGTTGTCTTAAAGATGTCTGAAAATATTCTCAGTTCTCTTTTGGTTTAGTTTTGATCATTTAACTAAATCATATTTCTGAAATTTTGGAAAAACAATTTTTCACATAAAGAAAACTAACCATCTAAAGAATACTAAAAAGTCAATTATCTAAAATGTACTTTCTTCAATTTAACTGTAATGAAGAGAATTTTAAAATAGTTCATGTTAATCTATATGTAAATAACTTACTTGCTTTGTGTCAGATCAACTACAATGAGATCTTTCTCCAGAAGTACGACGACAGCATAGGGTTCTTGAAATTCTACAAGTAAAAATTTAAAAATTTAAGTTTTCAGATTGCATTCATAAAAATCACCAAAATTTCATTTTCTTTAGTTCTTATACAAATAATTATTATTATTTAAATGATCTGAGAAGACCAAAATAAGAACCAAAATGGCAGAGCACTTTATAAAACTATGTTGTTTTTCTCAATTTTAATGTTAACATTACTTTGGAGAACAAGAAAAAATGAAACTTAATACTATGGAATTAAATACATCAGATAATTATGGAGTGGTGATAGTAATGAGTTATGTGAGGAGATGAGGTTATCACTTTCATTTACAAGTAATTATACTCTTTGTAACCTTAGTATTTTAGATCTGATATCATGCCTACATTAGATGTACTGAGGAAGTACTAATTCTGTTTCGATATGTTCCATATTCACCTCCCTATGAAAGTAACAGTACTTGTACTAAAGTTTACTTTCAATTTAATGTGACTTAACACAAATGCTGCCAATATAATGAAAATGAATGGAATTCAGAGTTAGGAGGACTGTGTTAATGTATAATATAGGACAGTACATTCTTTTGCTGTCATTTGAACAAAAGAAGAGATAAGTGAGTGCATATATACATAGATTATTTTGGGGAGAATAAATAAATAAATTGGTAACATCATTGTCTCAGGAAGGGCATTAAGAAACTTTTCATTATCTTTTGCTGTGTATTGTATGTTCTCTCTTCTGGAAGTTTGATGTATGAACTGTTTTAATGGTGCAAACAGAGATTGCCTACTCTGTGCCCAGGAATATATATCTAGAAAAAGCAGAGAGTATGAGAATAGTCTAATATGTTTAAGTTTCTAAAATCTAACCTTCCCTCCCTCCTTCATTTCCTTTTCCCTTAAGAGCCAAAACAGCAGAGAACTTTATAAAACTATTTTTTTTTCTCAATTTTAATATTAACATTACTTTGGAGAACAAGAAAAAATGAAACTTAATACTATGGAATTAAATTCATCAAGCAGCTACTGAGCCTATTCAGTTTTTTTCCTTCTTCCAATATATTCCGGAACTGTTTTATGAACAATGGATATATGGGAAATAAGACTGTCAAGGTACCCTTTCTCATTTAGTTTACAGTACTCTTTCTCATGTAGTTGGATGTTTTCCAACCATGAGTAAGTAAATAAATAAGAAAATTTCTGGAAATTATGTGTGCTATGACTACAGTTAGGGATAGGGATAAATTAGGACATAAAAATTATTTACATTTAGAGGAATAGGGATACTAATTTAGTTAGAGTCAAGGAAGTCACTGCTTTTTTATAATAAAGGACTAAAGGAAAGCTATAGCAAAAGAATTATTCTCAATTTAAGGAAGAGGTATTTATAAACAAATTTTATGTTCATGATATTTGATTTTCAATAGTTAGAATACGTATTATTATTTTTCCATTTTATGCTATAAAACAGATACAAAGAAGTTAAGAGCTTGACAACAAGGTTATGCAAGCAGTACATGATCAAGCTAAAACTTTAATACAGGCCTTCTGATTCTGAATCCCACCTCATTTTCATCATATTAGCAGTTTATACTGGCTATGTTGAAAATTATTAAATCCTAAATCCAACAATCACTTGGCAGGAGTTTTGTTCAAAGAATTCAAGTCTTGGATGTGAAATTTAAATACTGGAATACATAATTTTCATAGTCCCTCCAGACCCAAGCAGCTATTGAGCCTATTCAGGTTTATGTTTAAACCCACATGTGTATGAGAGAAAAACTGTAAAACACAAAACAAAATCCTGAAAAAGAGCTGGCACTTGCTGGTGCATAGTACTTGGATATATATCTATGTGACAGAATGTCTATATACTGTTTGCTATTCGAATTGTTCTCAAACTGAAACTTTCTCTCTTTTTACTTGTCTATAGAGTTGTTTTAAGGTTTTCAATCTTTTTCAATGTTTTGTTTTTCAGTTTGAAGAACAGCAGGGTTCCATGTGACTAGTTATTATCACTTTGCCTTCTTTCCTTACTGGTTATAAAGTAAGGGCTATTAAAATAACTGAGACACTGATATGTATAAAGTTATAAATAAATCATAATTTTAGGTAATTATATTTGTTTTAGTTTACTGTTGTTCTTTACAAATAACAAAAACTGGCAGCAGAGGTCTCAACTTTATAGAAGTACCTTATATGCTGTGATGACTAATGAACAAAAAAAAATTCTTTAGGAATCAAAGTTAGGTTCAATTTTGTATCTACTATTTACTAAGAGTTTGAACTTGGGCAAATTAGTTAATTTCTTTGACTTCCAATTCATTTACCCATTGAAATGACACAATAATAACTAAAGGTTAGATGTACATGAAGATGTTTATTGGAAAGCCTGGCAACAGTAAGTGCCAGCTGCCAACTGTATTCTTCATCTATTGGATTGGTTTATTCCTGACTTTAACCCTAGCCTTCAACATAGTAAAAGTGTTAATAACTTGGTTTAACCTATGCACAATATTTGTCATTATGCAACTACAAAACGATTGAAATCCTGAATTTATTCATATGAAATAATTAAAATTTTAAGTGAAAAAGTATGATATAGGATAGTGCATACAGCATGCTGTCATTTGTGAAAAAAAAGAGAGAGATAATATGTAATTAAATGAGTACATAAATGCATAGATTGTTTTAGGGAGAATACATAAGTAAATTAGTAACATCACTTGTCTCTTGAAGGGCAATGAAAAATTTTTCATTATGTATTACTGTGTATCATTAACCATTTTAATATTTAAAAACACATTTAAATAGTTAATAAGATACATTTATAATTCACTGGTAAAATTAAACTACTTCTAACCCCTAGCAAATGAAAAGTTCAATATTCATTACCAATTGTAAAACAGAGATTTATATATGTGTTTTAGAAGTAATAGGCATGGTTGCAGTACATTTATACTTTAATACATATCATTAGAACTTACCCTAACTTCTCTATTGGTGTCCAGAAATGTTATGTTTGTTCTTTGCAACAACATATTCTCAATTTTTATTACTGGCATATCTTCTTCCTCAAGCTATTAACAGAAAGTATTTTCCCAACTTCAGCTTTTGGTCCTTTACTCTTTTTGCTTTTTCTTCCTATATTTCTTTGTTATTCATTCTCATAAATCCACAGAACATTTATATTCTAATGATTTATGAATAAATATTGTTAAGACTTTTTCTGTCCTCTCAACTACTCCACTGACTCAGTCTTTCTCTTTTCAAAAACTACTATTGTGCATGAAACCACTAATCTTAAAACATGTGGTTATTGCTGGCTCATTTTTCAAGTCAGTCCCTAATCCAGTTGTTCAAAAAATTCAGGGGATTTTCCTCACTGAATTGTATAGGTAATGTTTTAAACATACATTATTACAAAAGTCTCTCAGTTGGAATCTGGATTTAAGATTTCAGTGTCTCTCTTCAAACCAACATACTGTTTTTGAGTAAATCTTACTAAAATTAATGCTTTCTTTCATTTTAGCATTTCCTCAAAATTCTTCATAGTTCCCTATTTCCAAACATCTCTAAAACAGAAATTTTTTCTAAATTGATCTCACACAAGCAAACCTTACAATTTCTGAAATGATTATCAATATCCTTTATAAGGTCTACCTAAATCCTAGTTTTCTGTGATGCTTTCATGAATATTTCAGTCATCAAGTATTTATCAGCCTATTAATTCATACATTATATTCTGAATCATACAATTCAGCATTTAATTAAGGTCTTACATTTACTTCAACTCAGTAAGTCATAATTAGGTCACTCATCTGATCAGATTTTAGGCAGAGACCCAGTTTCATATTTTATCTGTTTGTCTAACAAGTCTTTGTAGTAGTGAGTGCATAGATGCATTCAATAAATATTTGTATCAATCATGATTAACACAGGTAATTTATTTCTAGTAATTCTGGACATAAGCTGTACATTGATTGTTATTTATTCTACCTTTTAATTATGAAACTCAATAATTTAAAAGAAATTAATGCATTTAATAATGAAACACAACATGCATATCTTCATAGTTTAAAAGGTATATTCACTTGACCTTCCAAATGGGGACAATGTTATTATTCTCTTTCTATAAATGATAAATGAAATGTAAAATGTCTTGCTCAATATGACACAGCCAGTAAGTAGCATAACTAAACCATAAACCCAATATTCTGTCCTCAAGTTCAGTGCTCTTTCCCCATACTTATGTTCCCTCTTAAAAATGTAATAATGTATACACATATATGTTCTTTCAATAATAAGCTCATATTTCATTTTTACATTTTCATATTTCTCATTTTTAGATATCATTAAAGTATTTTATCACTATTAGATTTAATTATACAGTTTGCATGGATTTAAAATAGTTTCTTCATTTACAATAAGCTTTTATTTATACTCAGCTTGATAAAAATATATATACATCTCTCCTTCTGAATATCCTCTGACTAATCATTCTCAAAATTGAAATAAATCACTAACCACACATCAGCAATCCTATAGTAATCAGATGTGCTGCAGTTGCATCTGAAGCAAAGCCAGATGTGAAACAGATGCAGCACCACCATAGTTACAGATCACTGATATCGGGTAAGTGCTTTAACTTTGATTGACTTTGGGATGGGATGGGTGGAGCTGGTCTAGGAGAGACTATTAGGAGACCTCAGTTTCCCCAAGTGATTTTACCCTGGACCCCTATCGGACCCTCCCAGCTCAGCTTCCACCATCCTTATCAAAGTTTAAAGCACTTACCTGATATTAGAACCTGAAACGCCAGCACTGCTGCACTACATCTGTCTTACTTCCAGTTTGTCAAGTAGGTACAATTGCAGAACCTGCTCCAGCACCTGTAGCTCACAGTGTACCACAGTGGATATCTGCTGCCAAAACTGAAAATATTGAACCTTAATTTTGTTAGGAACTTCTCATTTCAAAATGATTTTTTCAATAATTATAGTTTCATTTTAGTTACTTACCATTTGGATAGGGTGTTTCACATAAAGTTAGAAATTCAACAATAGGATGATCCATTTCAAGTACTGTAATTGCTTTTCCATGCATGATGGTTAAACTTGGTCTTCTGCAAGCTTTGTCATAGGACAGCCCACCAGAGAATATTATGAATGGTTCACTACATAGGAAAAAAAGTTAATGAGACTGAGAAGTCCTTTAAGATGACACAAAGTCAAAGGACCGAGCCTTTAAAGAACAGGCTCACATTTTCCCTTTTCTGGATATACATTCTAACCACTAGAATAACTAATGGATAAGCCTAAAGGTGTTGGGAGTGGTGTTGAGGAAAACCAGTGAGGTTGGAGATAAGTGGAAGTGCTCACTGACTCTCAAAGGAACATCTTTTGGTTCCCAAATTCTTTATAATGACCCTCAGAATATTAAAGTTTTTATTAGACTATCCAGTAAATTAGTTGGAATCTGGAGCTCCAGATCCCTAAAAGATAAAATAAAGCAAACTAATACATAATGAAATGTGACATTAAAAAATACAGGATAGAGGATGACAAGAAAATTCTGGATATGGAGTCTTTGTGGGGAAAAGTTTATAAAAAAAAGATGGAGACAGATAACATGTACAGGAAAAATAGTTTACCAAAGATAATTACGATCCCTTCTCAATTTTACTTATGGATAGCCAGCTACATCTATCTTGCTCAAGTAACTTAAGACTAATCTTTTAGTTTATTAGTTTTCTAGATACAATTAGATAATAGAATAGGATTGAGATGATTATTAACTATTATAGCTGCCTGAAAATTATGAAATAGCCTCACAATTTTTCACTTTCCTCTTAAATCAATACCTACATATCTTCAGTATATGTACTGGGAAAAAATATATTGACCTGAGATATTTTCAAAATGTAAAAATGAAATAAAAAATATTCTTCCCCAAATAAGTTTATAAAAAGAACTGGATACTTTAACTGTATCAAATTCTTTGAGAATATGCTTCCCTAAGTAATTCACTTCCATCCTATCTGTTAAACTAGAAATTATGAGATTTTCCTTTTTTTTTTTCCATTTTGTATGGTGCACAGTACAAAACATTTGCTAATCTTATGCTGGCTATATAATAACAACAAAGACTTTTTAAAAGTTTATATCAAAACCTCTATAACAAATGCCTGTAGTAATTTTTCTTTAGAATGTTGTCTTAATATTTTAACACAAGTACATGAATAGTAAAGAAAAATGTTCTGACTTATTCTTTCCTCTGCATTGGTTTGAGTGATGGTCTTGCACCAGTGATTTGACATAGTAAATGACCATCTTACTAACGGTGATATTAAAAAGCATGGTTGCTCTCTTTTGACTGAGATATTTCCTTGTATCCTATAATACATTATAAACATTAACTATATATAATTTATTTATAGAAAATTAGCAAGTACAGGCATACAATGTGTCTTTCCCAATCTGTACAGTTAAAGAAGGAAGAATCATTTCAATAATTTATATTTATTTCACATTTCTCATAGTTGTCAATGAACTACAGTCAAATTTAGACTAAGAATCTTTATGATTTCTTTTAGGCTGTGGATATTTGGACGATCTTTATTTCTTAACTAAATTAATGCATAGTCTAACATTTGTACAGCCTTCAGTAACCTAGAGGGTTTTTAGATTGCCTCTGTGTTGCTAAAATCACAAAGAGTCTGAGTTTTAAGTATGAAACACCTAATATAATCAATTTGTCTTTATTTTGATGTTATAGATTGTGGCCTATTTATCTGTGGCAACATCTCTCAGTACTCTTAACCTTGGTGTTCCTCTGCTTTTTAGCCTCCTTGAGCTTTAAGCTTCAGGTCAGAGGTAATTTTCTTTTATTTTTCTTGATATCAAAGATGACTGAACCCAGGGATGCTTAACCACTGAGCCACATCCTCATCCTTTTTTATTTATTTTGAGACAGGAGGTCTCAATAAATAGCTTAAGACCTGGCTAAGTTGCTGAGGTTGGCCTTCAACCTTGATTCTCCTGCCTCAGACATCTGAGCAACTGTGATTACAGGCATGCATCACTGTACTCCAGAGAGGTAATTTTGTAATAAAGTAATAATCATGAAAAATAGATACAATGTACTAATATAGCCAAGTACATGGGATAATAGTAATTATGATCAAAAACATGATTATTATATATTACAAATCTAAAGAATTAGTTTTACATATGGTTAGATTACCAATAACTAGAACAAATCTTTAAGAGTAATGCAATAATTCAAACAATGTGGAATACAATGACTCTAATAATGACAATTAATAATAGTAATTTCTACTTATAAAGAACCCACCATGTAACTTTAACAAACTTAGGACATTTTATGCCTTATGCATTTCATGTAATCCTCACAAGCATTATAGTGAAATAAGAATTGCTGGTGAGGATAAAGGTTCAAGAGTTAATCAAAAATTCCAAGGCCACACAGATGTCTTACTCCAAAAGCCAGATCTTAATCAGTATTTTATACTGCTTTTATTTAAATTCCTAAATCCTAAAGTACCTTCTCTTCATTTTCATCCTTTTCTCCTTTTGTCTGGAACCAAACTGTTATCCTTTAAGTCCTATTTCTGACAGCTTCTTTCCCAAGAAGAATTTCCCTGATCTCTCTCTGTCTCACAGTTCTCCTCCCCACTATCCTCAAGGCTTTGATGTTAGATGCCCTTTTTCTGTGTTCCCAGAGCAAGTTTCTATAAATTACCTTACATGTTTTATAAAAACTACTAGTTTATGGCTTTGCTTCTGCTACTAACACATAACAAATTCAAAAGCAGCCAGTAATTTCATTTTAGTACAAAACAAAGCACACAGTGCGTGGAATATAATAATAACTTAATAACTATTATTTTAGCTGAATTAAAATGAATCTTATTAAATGCTTCATATAGAAATATTTTTAAAAGGGCCTCTGAGCAACAAAATAGATGTCATTAAGTCCCTGGATCATATACTTTATCATGGAAAACTGTCAGATATTCACATAAACCTCATTTTACAAGTCTGGCTTTTGTTTTTATAGGTTTTTAAAAATATGAAATTAAGAATAATTAATATCAAGAATCAATAAATGGGATGGATTCAAACTAAAAAGTTTCTTTTCAGCAAAAGAAACAATCAGTGATGTGAATAGAGAGCCTACTAATTGGGAACAAATTCTTACCACACTCATGTCAGAGCACTAATCTCTAGAATATATAAAGAACTCAAAAATCTTAACACCAAAAAAACAAATAACCCAAACAATAAATGGGCCAAGGACATGAAGAGACACTTCTCAGAAAATGATATACAATCAATCAAGAAATACATGAAAAAAATGTTCAACATTTCTAGCAATTAGAGAAATGCAAATCAAAACTACTCTAAGATTTCATCTCACTCCAGTCAGAATGGCAGCTATTATGAAGACAAACAACAATATGTGTTGAAGAGGATGTGGGGGAAAAGGTACACTGATACATTGCTGGTGGGACTGCAAATTGGTCAGCCAATATGGAAAGCAGTATGGAGATTCCTTGGAAATCTGGGAATGGAACTACCATTTGACTCAGATATTCCTCTCCTCAGACTATACCCAAAGGACTTAAAAACAGCATACTACAGGGACACAGCCACATCAATGTTTATAACAGCACAATTCACAATAGCTAAACTGTGGAACCAACCTAGATGTCCTTCAGTAGATGAATAGATAAAGAAAATGTGGTATATATACACAATGGAATATTATTCAGCTTAAAAGAGAATAAAATCATGCATGTGCAGGTAAATGGATGGAGCTGGAGAATATAATGCTAAGTGAAATTAGACAATCCCCCAAAACAAAATTCTAAATACTTTCTCTCATTTAAGGATGCTGATTCATAATATGCTGTGGGGGAGGGGGATGAGAGGATTAAATGAACTCTACATAGGGAAAAGGGGAAAAGGGGAAAAGGGGAAGGAAGGAAGGAGGCATAAGAGTAGGAAAGAGAGTGAAATGCAATGGTCATCGTTACCAAAGTACATGTATGAAGACACGAAGGATGTGTCTCTACTTTGTACAACTAGAGATATGAAAAATTGTGCTCTATATGTGTAATATGAATTGTAATGCATTTGGTTATCATATATAACACATTAAAATTTAAAAAATTTAAAAAGATGAACACAATATCTTTATTTATTTTATTTATTTTTATGTGGTGCTGAGGATTGAACCCAGTGCTTTACATGTGTGCAAGGCAAGGGCTCTACCACTGAGCTATAACCCTAGCCCTATAAGTTTAGCTTTTAAGACTCTTAGTCTATAGAAAATCAAAGACCAAACACTAGTAGATAATAAGTTTGAAATTATACAAAGTTCTCATGGTACAATCCTGAAGGGGAAAATAATTTAAAAACAAATACATGAAAAAGAAAAAAACAAAACTACAAGGTGTTGGGAATAAATAATAGTCTCATACACTTCAATACCCTTGAAGTATAGCAGTATATAACAAGTGGTGTAAATAACAGTGAACATGAAAACACAAGTTTAAATAATAATTACTGTACTGAGAAGAGAAGAATCCCAAGATGGCAGGTTAGTGGCACCTACTACTCACCTATATCTCCACGAAAAAAGAATTAAAACAAATAAAATGTAGCTTCTCATAGAGATGGGGATCATGCGATAATAATGCAATTCAATATAAGAAAGACAGATTTGAAGAAACTGATAGATGTTGGATTATGGAATAAAGAGTGAAACAAAAGGGCCAGTACCAACCATGGAAACATGATAAAGGGAGTTGTGCACCTTTTGGGTGGCAGTAGAGGAGAAAGAGGGAGAGTCTCACTGGTACAAGAATCTGCACCCAGCAGAAATATAGGCTAACCAATTAATATTCCTAAGATTTGCATGGTGAAATGACTCTAGAGAAGTTCTCTCCATTCCTCTGCCTGTACACAGTGCTCTAACTGATAACCATCTTAAGAAGGGCTATATTGAGATTATTTCCTTGGGAATGATCATGTAGGAGAACAGAAGGCATTTTCCTTTGGAATTCAGTGGGTCATTGAAGAAATCTGGGAAATTTACAAATTCCTAAAATCAAATGAAAATAGAAATACAACATACAAGATCCTGTGG